TCTCATTCCTTACCTTTAGATAAGCCTGTACGTAATAACAACATAATTTGGGAGTTTTTTCATATGTTGAGAATCATACATATTCTCTGCAACTTTTTCTTCACACTTAATATGTCTTAGAAGTATTTCTTTGTCTGTTGTTTCTTTATATATGTTTAGTCTTTATAATGGCTACAGAGTATTTCCCAGTATTGATGGACCATGTATTTAACCATGCCCATATTGACGAACATTAGATTGTTTATATTTTCTCCTATTGCAAATAGTCCCATGATGGATTCCAAAGTAAATATTGTTGTCCCTGTTTTAGAAATGAGGAGATAGAGGCAAGTTAATCCCCTTGTCCCCTTACAATGGCCAGAACTAGGATTCAAACGGAGGCCTGTCTGTCTCAAAGAATACAAAGTTACTTTCTTTTCACTGTTATGCCTTTTAATAATTGAAGTAGAATAGGGTAAACACTTGACGAGGTGGGTACTACAGAATCACCAAAAACCTAGCTGCCAATAGAACCTCCGGGTCATCTGAGGAAGGGACATTTGAGCAGAATCTAGGAGTCTTCTGGGCAGAAAGGGAGAAAGCCACTCTAGAAAGAGGGGTAGGTTTATTACAAACCAATCAACCACACATGTTGATCACCTACTAGAGGAAACCTGTAATACACACTTGTGGAGAGATTTATAGAAAGAAGACATGATATTTGTGCACCAGGATCTTATAGCATGATTTGTGTGTGTGCGCATGAAATTTAACAGAGTAATAAGCTAGTGAGTACAGTGTAAATAAATACCTACATCATTTGGCAGCTTTGGCAGGGCCCTGGAAATGAGTGGGCCGTGAGGTACTGTCTGCATGGTATGGCAAAGAAATTTCCCCTCCTAATAGCTCAGTTTCTTCCTCTGAAATGAAGAAAGTACTATCTAGTCTCTGCTTACTTGACAGGGGTGTTTCAAGGCTTGAATAATTTCTGTAAATGTTTTGAGCTCCTCCAAGGTATGTGTTCTGTAAATAGGAGGTATTAATAGCAGCTATCAGAACCAAAACAAAACTGAATTGGGCTGCAGTCATTTTCTGAGAAAGAAATACAAATGCCCATAAAGCATGAAGCTCACACTGGATCCGTCACTTTGACCCTTCTCTGGGCAGCCTGGGTCTCACGTAGGACATCGCAACAGCTCAGGCCCTGATCTCAAGTGGGAAAATTCGGGAGACTAGCTGGATTTTCCAACATTTAATTTCCCAGCTGATTACTATGATTAACAGCCCATCTGGCACAACCCATTTGTGAGGTATGTGTGTGCAGGGAAGCAGGACTCTAGTAAAGGCAGAGATCTAACAACAACAAAAAAATGCCCAGTGGAGCCAACACTACTTTGGAGACTTCCACTAAGATGTTTAAATAGGAATTTCATCATAATAGCATTAGTGAGGCCGATAGGCCATATGTTGTAAGAAAGGCAGTTAGGGAGTGAGTGTTTCTCTTTCTCAGGGCTTTTATGTTAGCTTAGTGAGGATTTGGTGCTACCTTTGTCTGCCATGGGTCTAGAGGGCAGTGAACATGCTAAGAAGAAAATCCAGCTCTGGGTTTCAGTAGCAACATATCAACATCTCTACCTGCAAACTCATGGAAACTAAGCACTGTCCGGGGAGACGCACAATTACACTCCTGCACAGGGGTGGCGGTGATAATTCTGGGCAGTGGAGGGGGACCCCTACCTCATGCTCCCATTGCTCTTACCTCCCCAAAGAAAGCTCTGAGCAGTGAGCAGAGGAAGCCATGTGGTAGCTCTCATAGCTTCATAGCCCCTTCAGTGTGACTGCAGTTCCAAATCTATCCACCGGCAGCTGATCTCATAAGCACTAATAGGACTTACAGATGTGTAGAAACTAAGGTTATGATGCTCAGCTGAGCTCCCTGATGGAATTTCTTGTAATGTTCTGTTACCCAGGGGATCCAATGTAAACCTGCTCCAGACAGAGTTTTATTGTGTTTTATTTCTGAGCTCCAAACGTGCTTTCCCTTTGGAGGTCAAGCCTCTAAGTCTCCTTGAAAATTCCTACCTCATAGGTAGAGACTCCTGACTCCTGTGGTCACCACTTCTGCTGGGGGCTCCAGGTCCACAAGGAAAACTCATCAGTGACTTGATCTTAATCCCTCACTGCATGTGCACAGGTCACTGAGAAACATCTGGTGGCCCTGACCCTTCGTATCCATTTGCCAAATGTATCGAAGTGGGGAGGAACTGAAGAACCCATCTGCAGTCCTCTGTGGTGATAGAGGGATGGACTAGGTAATGTCTGACTTCAGGAGGACCTGTGAGCCCTATCTATTTTGCCCAGTTGAAAAAGAATTGATGACCTCCCTACAACAGTTGGAAGATCTTCACCTCTACAGGCTGTTATGCTGAGTTTCTTTGGAACAAGTCTAGGAAAGTATCCTCTACTTCGTCTCAGAAATGTGAAAATAAAGCTGGCTTCTGCACAGGTTGGAATTAATACCAAACTGCCCTTTGGGAGATTCCTACCCTGTGTCTCAAGAAGGTGGACTTCGCAGCCCATAATGTGGGGTTCAGCAGAGAAGCTAGATGAATAGGTAGTGAGAAAGTCTCTGATGTGGTTCCCTTGGGCTTCTATCTCTGAAAATGGACTTTTGCTTTAATTTCTTGGACCATACACTAAAGCTTTACCTTCCTGTAGGGGCAGAAGTCTATTAGCAAATCTATGAATTACAGTGAGACTTCGATTACAGTGATGAAGCTTCCTCAAGGCCTAAGGATTTCTAGTGAGCTCTGTGGCTGAGTGTCCTGAATAAAGGGCAAGTCTACTGATTTTGGGTTCTGTTCAGCCAAAGCTGAATAACGTCCTAGCAGGAGGGAGCTCAGCAAAGTCAATGAGATAGGAAGGGAAGCATCCCTATCTCACTGTAGTGTCTTCTCCTTGCCCCTGCTTGCCCTCACCTCGCACCAGGGACCTTCAAAGCTTCAACAGGGGAAATGGTAATGCCAATCTGGACCGATTGCATTGCCCAGGGAGAGATCTCTGTCATAAGATGTATCATCTCACATAAATTCTAAGGAGAACTAGATTAGGATTAATGGATTTGGCATCCCTGCCTGCACAGAAATTGTTCCTCTCCATGAGTTTTCTTACCTTCAACAGAGACTTAGCTGTCAGTAGGTTTGCATGTCTCAGTGATTGGAGGAAGAGGATGGGAATTGTTTTGCTATTTTTTCTATCTTGCTCCAGTAACTTAGAGTGTACTCTAAAGAGCGTGTGAATAAAATCTGTAGGACCTATTTCAAGCATGGTAAAAATCAACCTGAACTCCCTCTTTAATTAGCTGGAATGTGCAGAAATAAAATGATAATAACAATAATACTTTCCAGGAATCCAAAAATTTATCACGTAGAGGCTGCTGAACAGCTCATCCTCATTGTCATGAGGAAGACAAAGAAATACTGATACAGGAAGAGTTTGGGGTCAGTCAGGAATGGCAAATAGTTAGTATGTGTTTCATCATCAGCCTCCTTCCCCCATGGCAGTCATAACTTACTGAACGCTCATGAAACTCTTTCTCACTGAGATCAGACAGGATTTCAGAATCCTTCTCAGGTTGAACTCCAGACAGCCTCTACCAGTCAGTCAGAGTTGGCATAAAGGGCTTAATTTTTAAAAATAAAAATAAAAATAAAAATGGTGGCATCTTGAGTTATTCATGGCATAATAAAACTGTTTCAAAAAGGGATTTTGAACTATATCTGTGGCTTTTGCCAGCCTTTTCTGTTTACAAATTATTTACATGGGATTCAAGACTCAACTTTCCACTTACTCCACCCATTCTTGTCTACCGCCCCAAAAATATCACACCAAAAGAAATGGGAAATATGATCCTGCTTTTATGAGCCATCCATGAGGTGATGTCTGGTCCATATTAAATGTCAGAAATAAATTATTTATGTAAAATGAAAATACAGAGATGTGACTATATTATGGATATTAATCGTCCCCAAGAATAGCAGCTTAACCACCTTGAATGCCCCCTGAGGGACACTAGCACTTTTTCAATTATACTTTAATAGCCACTTGCCTTGGGAATATTTAGAAAATATGTAAACATTTTACAGAGGACACTGAATTTGATGTTCTTTCTTCAAATCTTGAATCTATCCCCTCCTCAGTCCTATCCCATTTGTGAAAACAAATACGGATTCAGCGAGCACCAACAATTACCTCAGGTAATGGATAGATGGACTTTAGTATGTGTTTAGATAGATAGGCTAAAACCATTTTGCAGAATCAGGAGCCTATGACCTGTTATCTGTCATGGATGATCAGAGGTACAGGAATGCACGGTTGGATTAGGTTGACTAGAACACACTACTGGAGACCTTTCTCAGCCTTAACTGACCTCTGATGTCAATCTCCAATATGAGCATTTGGTTGCTTATTCTTTGGGGTTACCCAAGATAGCAGCTGCTAGAGGACACGTGGCCAGTGTTTTCTATATCTTGGGATTATAGGTGATACAAGATGGCTGACTGACAAGTAAGGTAGAATGAAAGAAGGGGCGCCATGAAATTCCTTCAGTCTGACCTAGGACTTTCTCACCAGTTTGGGGAGGGAAGGGGAATCTTGATGCTGCCATTGCAATAATATATGAGCTTTGCAAAGACACTTTCCTCTATGTCAGCTCTCCACAGCATTGTAGAGTAGTAATACCAGCTGGACTTAGGGGACAATTACTGAATCATGTGTAAAGCATTTTGCAGTCTGAAGCATTAGCTCATAAAAGATGGAAAGGCAAAACATTCTGTTCCTTACCCTGTATATGGGGCATAAGACTGAATTTCAGGGCAGAGTAAGGGAAGGTCAGTTTACAAAATGTAAAAGAGATGTGGTCTTTGACCTCAAGATTAGAGGTGACAGATTTGGATGGCAAATATATATATATATATATATATATATATATATATATATATATATATATGCGCACAGAGACACACAGATACACACACACATGGACCTATACCCCTGTTAAAAATAGAAGTTGTATTACTTTATACTTTAAGATGTGTCTGTGTAGCATTTAAGTTTGCCAGTCACTATTAATATGGCTATTTTTCTTTCTGCATCTCAAAGAACAGACTCCTTAAAGATTTTCCAATATGATGTGAAAAACCATGGTTTTTATCTGAAAGTTCTCTGAGTTGACTTCTTGCGCATCTGATGCAGTCTTTCTTCTAGGCTCACCTAGCTAGGTTAATCGTTTGTTTACTGGTATCTTTCCTTTTTCCACAAAGGATTGGCAGGGTTGCAGGGAGGGTAGGTGGTGCTGTAATAAAAGGTATCTAATATGTTTTCTGTTCTTTTGGGAATTTGAGAAAGCAGTAAGCCAACTTATAAAGGAAAGCGTTTTTTGGACAATCTAAATGGAAAAGAATCCTCTGTTGCAGGACCTAGTTGCTACATTGATCCTGTAAATTAGTTCTTCCTCTCTTGGATGATATAGGCTCATGCAGTTCCTAGCAAATATGTCTTCACATTAGGGTGAGACAGTCCTTCTATTTCCAGCAGGCAGGACGAATAGGCCAAGGGGCGACTAGGCAGGATTTCCCGGGGTTCGGGCTACTGCAGCTTCCTGGACAAATGAAAAAATGCAGGTGTCACTCCCCTGCCCCCAGGCCAACCAGGTCACAGGGTAATTGCCCTGTTGCCTGCTGGGATAGGCCCACCCTGCCCTTCTCCCTCAAGGTTCATTTTTCATTTTGATTGAGTCATGATAGCTTAGTGCCACAAAACGTCTGAGGATATGCCTGGTAGGGAAAAGGTCATAAAGGACTCCAGTGATCTCCCCTTCCCTAAAATCCAGGGCTCGGTTTCATGAGTCATTTGAAAAGGATGGACAATCAGAGCTGGTTGCAGGGTTATGTCTTTCTCTGCGTATGGCAGGAGTGAAATCTCCATCTTGCTAGCTGAAGAGTTGCCTGGCTGCCTTATTTCAACTGAGGCAGCACAGCTTGCTTTAGCTTTGAAGTGTGAAAGCCAAATAAAGGTTGGCAAAGGGAAGGGATAGAAGCTGCATAGCCTTCTTGGAGCATGAAGAGACACATTCGGCCCTGTGCACTGAATGCAGAAACTTTTCCCATCTCTTTACCAATCCCTCATCCATAGCCACCCTTGAGAATTGTGACTAAAACAGCACAAGCTTGGTTGGTTGCCCCTCACTGGAGCTTTTCTGTGGTGGCTGGTCGTCGGACATTGTGAACTTTAATTTGGGAATGAACCAAGCAGATGCTCACTCTCCAGCTATCTGGGTGAGTGTCTTGCTAATCTATCCATGAGAGCGACCAGGGACACACACACACACAACACAGACACATGAACACACACACACATGCAAACATACAAACACAAACATACACACACACACACAGATCTGACTTTGATTTGCCCCGGCGCCCTGAGCAATGAGTTAGGCTATTTATTGTCCTACCCCCTCTATGTCCTAGGGAAGATTTTAGAAATTCTAATACGGGAGGCTGAGAAAGGAAAATATTGGCTTCTACAGTACAAACATCTCTGTCCTGAAAGAAAATGTTAATTTTCCCCTAAATCAAATGTTGACATATATCAGCTGCTGCTGAAGATGTGTCACTATGGGAGACGTTCTTGCTCCGGATCAGGGATATTGGACTGGACTCTCCTCTGAAACGCTAGCTGCTTTAGAATCTGAACAGGTTTGGTTAAGAGGTTCTATGAATTGTTCCAGTTCGTTTTCAAAAAGCTGATCTCCGTGGGACCCCGTCCTGAGCAGGGGACAGGGGACAGGGTGCCACTTTGTGGAGCGCACTGTTTTCTGCAGAAGCTGGGCCCCCAAGTTGGCACCTGCAATGATTTAGGCACTGCTTATCTCTGCCAGGGGATATAGGATTTTAATTGGAGATGTGGGAGGAGGGGAAAAGGCGAGGGGCACGGAGAAAGGATGGAATCCACAGGCAAAGAGAAATTTCCAGCACTAGATGTTTTACCCGACCCTTTTCCCTCTGCCCCCAAAACACGCAGTCTAAGTATTCTTTGTTCAACACCTATGTTTAAAAAATTCCAAATTAAATTCCCCGATTATCTCTCTCTCTCTCTCTCACACACACACTCACACACACACACACACACATCCTTTTAACTTGTTAAGTTTGAAAGATGATGATATATACAACCAGTGTGCTTTGCCAGTCTGCACAGTGAAGGCCAAGATTAATGCAGAAGGTTGGTGCAACGTTGCCGCAGAGCAGCGTGATCAGAATACAAGATGGAGCAGAGGGGGAAAGGCCAAGAAATATGTCTGTGCTTGGAGTTTACACAAGTCTCCTTAGCAACTTGTCTGAATTTATTTTTCCCTTACTGTGTGTGGGTTTCTTCCAAACCCTGAGTGAAATGAGAGTTGAATTTCTAACCGACCCCTGTTTCTCTGCTTCGAGGGTGAAACTGTTTCACTTGGTTAGCCAGCCTGTCTCTCTCTTACTGGCTCTTTCTCCCCCCAAACCCTCCCCTGTGTAGGTAGCTCTGATCCTTTGCATTGTGACTTTGTGGACTGTTGGTAGCTTTCCAGAAATTCACATCTCCATGGGGGAATGAGAGAGCCTGTTTCTGATGGCCACAGCTGTGCAGATTTCTGCTGCAGCCTTGCAACTTCTAGTGCATGCTCTTGTGTGTGGCATACGTGTAAATGTGCCTGTTTATACGCCTGTGTGTTGTAAAATAGGGAGAAACAGCAGAGCTCACTTCCTCTTGACTATTTCTTTTCTTTTTCTGTCTTGCTCCTCTCCGTTTCTATCTCTCATCATCCCTCAACACACACACACACACATACACACACACCCAAGGTCCTGTAATTCTAATTGGGAGATGAATAGAAAGCTATTAGAAAAAAACCCCTGACTTTTAGAAACCTGGTATGTTGGATTTTACATGACCAGGCTCGCTTCAGGAGAGACTAACCATAAATACTGCAGTGGTTTTGCTGAAAATTGCTTTACCTTGAAATAACTCTAGGGGAGTAGAGGTGCTGCCTCATTGGAGCCGATGTTGAATATGAATTTTAATATTCTTCCTTCTTGCACCCTCCCCTTTTAGAGTCAGGGGAAAAAAGAAACCTAGCCAAAAAATGTTAAGGTTTGATTTTGGCTCTTTTACAAACAGATGTTGCTTGTCATTTTGTTGTTGTTAAGCAGGCACCAGATTGGACCAAGCAGCAGTGTGCATGCATGCATGTGTGTGTCTGTGTGTGTGCATGTGTGTGTGTGAAAGGGAGAGAAAGAGGGGAAAGAGGGAGGGTAAGGGAGAGAGAGAGAGGCTTGGGGGAGAGAAAAAGAGAGTTGTGGGGTGGATAAAGGGCTGGAAGGCAAAAACAGATTGATTTTGGGAAAAGTTGAGAGCAAAAAAGTAGGTAATATAGGTTAATACCTTTTTTCTTTCCAAACTTCAATTTGGCTAAGACTGTATAAAATCGTATTCTATTTGATAGTTTGCTGTTTTTCCAAAGTAAGAGGGAAATGTGGAAATCAGTAGACGTGGACGTGGAGAGCACTAGGTGAGAAAAGCTGACCTCTTCTAGGCTGAAAGGCAGGGAGAGGGTTGGTAGGCTGTTCCTGTGCTCCTCTCAGCAACTATACCTGGAGTCTATACCTGGAGTAGGTCGAAGGTCTTTACCTGGAGTAGGTCGAAGGTCTTTACCTGGAGTAGGTCGAAGGTCTTTCTGTCCCAGTGGAACTTAGTTTCTTGTGTTTGACGGTTGCTTCTTTTTGTAAGTATCATCGGGGAGGTTCCAGGCTCTTTTGTACTCTTCCCAGAATAAGAATCCCGTTGTCAAACAGTCAAGGTTCTAAGGAAATACTGACTGTTTGCGTATTGCACATCTCTTTGCTTGCAGGATCCGAGTAATTTAATCCTCAATTCTTTCCCAAGCCACCCTATACACTCACTTAATTCGTAGCTTTCTAATGCAATTGTGGTATACTTTCTCAAGAGCAAAACATAGCTTTGAATATCAAAGTGTTAACGTTGGCTGGCATAGAGGAAGCCTTGTGCAGCGTATAGTCCATGTACATTAAAGAAGTGAAAGATGTCTAATTTTCAAAATATGTATCTGACGTTCCATATCAGAACAAGTGTCTTCTTTTTTTTTTTTAATTTTAATTCTTTTAAAAACCTTCCTGGCTTTATTAACAGTATAGCTAGAAAGGAAGTTGTAGGTTGGCATCATTGTTTGCATTTTAGAAAGGAAGGAAAATTGTCATCCTGAGCAAACTTATTGCTTTCAAAAGTGAAAGTAGTCTGCTTAGCCAGCTGCACACGAAGCAACTTGTTACTGGCAGCCTCTTAGGCTTTTGTTTCATCGAGTATGTCAAAAGCAAATTTGCCTCCAATTTCTCACTCTTAAATGGTTGATCTCTGTTATACATCTGTTGTAAGTGAACATTTAGTGGGTTTAAGATTGTTTTTAAATTACCGAAAAACAAAAAGCCCACTACTCTGATAATCTGAGGCATCTTTTGTTTTAGCTCAATCTGTCTTATTCTATCATGCCATTTTTCACCTCTTTGTTCTTTAGTCCACCTAGCCACACTTTCATTTTTCATTTTACATAAAATATTTATTTTTTTAATACAGGGGGATGTGTGGTAGGACGATTATAAATATCAATTTCTAATTTTCCCTGAAAGGAAAATTTGCCTGAAAGGAGCACTAAAACCATGGCATTGCTTTGCCAGTCTCCTCCCTCTCCTGCTTCCTTCTGGTCAGTTTTTCCTGGGTAGAGAAGAATTAATTCTACCTAAGCTAGCTGGCTGTGGTGCCAGAAGCCTCTGCATTGCATGCTTGAGAGACGCTCCTGCACTGGGGTCCGGTATCCTGGTGGCAATATCGCAGGTGGATAACGCATGGGGTGACGCATGGCACCAGTGAATTTCTCTTGGAGCAGCAATCGTTGGATGTGCCTCTTTTGTTGAGGTGATTGGATCTTTCTACAAAAATCGAGGGCTGCAGAGGGTGAGAGAAAAGACATCAGGAAAACTGAAAAACCATAGGAGACCAAAGACTAGCTGTCACTCCTCTTCATGATGTCGGGGAGAATGCCAAGGGTAGATTTGAGTTTTCTCTCTCTCTTCCTTCCTTCTTTCTTTCTCTCTCTCTCGCTTTCTGTTTCATTCTCTTTCTTTTTCTCTCTTTCTGTCTCCCTCTCTGTGTCTTTCCTTTCTCTTTCTTTCTTTCTTTGCTTTATAAAAAGTTGCTCTATCCCCTCAGGACAAAGAAGGTCTGCTGAGATTCTGTACAAGAGGTACATCTTTGAAAAAGAAGGAGGGTGGAGGGCAGGAAATCTTTCTGCTGGTGCCGTTCTGCTGACATCACCATGGATTTGGTGTTCAAGTCCATAGCCAGGCAAAACTCAAATACATTTTCCCTTTTGCAAGCAGCTGCACAGTGAGTTTGCCTTCCATTAGTAAAGGAACAATGAGGGAAAAGCAAACCCTGCGTCTAAAACATGGCCAATGAAAGAACGTTGGAATGGAAGCCAAGAATCCTGCTGTGGTGGAAAGGGGATAGACTCATGAATCCACCACAATCAGATATTTTACTTCTTTCTAACAGCCCCATCAGCAGAGAGAAATAATGACTCCCGAATCATTTCAGAATCAAAAAGTTAAAACGATGTCTCAATGATGCTACATCATGCCAGGTAATGATTGCCCAACTTGATTATACCTTAACCATTCTTAATTATTGATAGCCTAGCTCTTAATCATGTTTAGCAAATGAGCGGTTTGGTATAAAACATTGGTATTTGGGAGTATTGCGAGACTTCACATTCCTATTGGATCATTTTTCTGGTAAAATCGTTCTCAAGGTCTGTCGGCAGCCAGGGAAATTCCAGGAAAAAATGCGAAAGTGACTTATTTGCAGAATCTTTATATCGTGTACAGTTCTGGAAAATGAAGTAAACGTAATGCTGCCCCGTGATTTTCTAGAATTACTTTTATTCCAGTTTTTGATGTTCCTTTTTACTCTTGTTCTGGCATTAATTTTAATTTAGCTTTACAAAAGAATTGGGTGACAAAAAGAAACCAGACAAAAAACAAGCAAAGAATCTTGATCCATTTAAAATAATTTTATTTTCCAGACACGGGCGAATGGTTTGAAGATATTGGCCTAGCAAGATGGCAACGGGTTTAAAAAATTCATAAGATTCATAGGATTCATAAGAAGTTACTTTTTTCAGGTAATGGTATTTTCCTATAATTTCCCAAACCTTCCATTTCCTCAAGTTTTGCAAATTTTTAGGGCCTGCTTGAATGATTTAATTATGAAGAATAACTGCACTTTAAACTTGATTTGTAAAAATAGCAACCAGTTTTATAATATTCGTAGCCAATGAGTAGAGCAGCCATGGCATTCAATTCTGTGGAGTTCAGAAAATGTTTTGAAAGTTATTACTTAACAGTGCTTATTTCTTTTGACAATGATTTAGGCAGAACTCATGTGAAACTATCGGGCACTGTCCATAAACTCTGTGACTATCTTGGGTAATTGAATTTAAAAATATGAGTATTAGAGGATTGTCTCTAAAAAGCCTACCATGTGCCCTGAATTCCTGGAAGATAGGTCTCATATAAATTGCATAATAACAATAATGGTGTTTTAACTTTCAGCCTAGATTGGTAATACTATAAGGCATTTTATGGAACTATACTTATACATGTGCAGTAACTACGATTTGAGCTCAGCTATCATGATATAGGTAGTTTTCTTTTAGTATTCCTAAAGGACTTTGTGCCGCTTAAAAATGTTTGATAACATAAATGATATATTTTCTTGATAAATTACTTTACACTGCTTTTGCTATTGTTTATAGGCATTAGCCTACATTTTCCAACTTAATTATTAGTGTTACCATGTAAGAGAGCCCAACAGAATCTTGGTTAATAAGGCAAGCCAAAATTTCCTCTGAAAAGAACCCTTATTTTTTTCCCCAACACAAAGAAGGTTCTTGAAGGAGGCATCCAATTAATATTTTTGGGAAAATACCTACTCCCAAACAAACCATTTTTCTGCTAGGTCAGTATTTGATTTTCTTTTTTTTCTGCAGCCTAGGCATCTTCTAATTTCTCTTTTATTTTCTGAAATTAAAACTGGATTGTTTAGAAGCTAACACTACAAACCATTTGGAATGAATAACTTCTCTGTCCTAAATTTGCCCAAAAAAAGATACAGAGATGGCCCCAATTGAAACACAGCATTGACCTCCTTTCTATGGACTTCAAGGGTGCAAATACATGAAGGAGGTGCTACTTGAATGTAAATGTGACACTTTGACAGATCTTTGTCCATTGCTAACAAATATTGTGTTCTATCTTTTTAATAAATATGATAATGACAATTAGTTCTCATGACTTTGGAAGCCTGGGCCTATTCCTTCCCATTTTAATAAGAGCGCCTACATCTCACGTGTTCCAGAAATCTTTAACAGTGTTCAAAGTGCCCATCCTCAAATACTTCTGGCTCCAGGCCTTTGTCAGAGGGATCAAAGGAAAAGAGACTTGAAGTTCATTTTAAAATTTTTTATTTTAGAAAGGAAATGAACATTTATAAATAAAATAAAATAAAGACCATTTTGAGGTGACTGGTTTGGATCCATTTACTTCCACTTGCTATTGTTGTTTCTTTGGATCTAAAAGTCAAGCCACGGAGCTGCAACTAAGTTCTTGGTTTTGGCACCCTTCACAGCGCCAGGCGGCTCCAAGCAATTGCAGCCACAGCTCAGTCCTGATGAAACAGGCGGCAGTGAAGTGTTGATGAGCAGTTGCGTCTCAGCCCCTATTCATTCTTTTGTTGGTTTCCCGTTCTCCTGCTTTCACCTTTCACCTTTGTGTATATAACAGCCTCCTCTTTTCTCTGAATAATTCCCAAATTTGGCTCTTTTTTGTTGTTAGTAGAGTCTCCCAGATTCTTGAGAACGGAATGAATGTTCATATGTCGAGGCAAAGGAGATAAAGTTTTTGTGAGCTAGGATCTATAGACATTGCTAACAAAAATTGAAAAGGTCTCTTTTTAGGTCCTGCAAAGAGCTGGAGGCATATGTTTTTCCCAGTGTCTAGAAAGGGGGAATATTTTGCTTTTCATCATGCATCCTTGAAGTACTTATGATTAAGACTGTCTTCAATACAATTCACAAAAGGAACCATTAATGAAAGTTCATTGTCTTGGATGTTCCATTCTTACAAGTGAACATTGGTTTTGAAGAAAGGATTTTATGTTGACAAATTAAATCCTTTTATAAGAAGACCTCAGAAACAGATTCATTCCTACATCCTGGAGCAATTTCGGGGGAAGAAATTATACAATTTCTTTTCTGGTTGAAGTTTTATAAAATATGCCCTAACTTGCTCATTGTTGGTGTTTGGACCAATAATGAGGGTGGGTATGAGGGTGGAGTGCAAACATAAATACAAACTTTTCCTGAAGATGAATCTTTCAATGTAATATAGCTGGAAATGTCCTCTAGAATAGTTTTCAGAAAATGCTAGCCTATTGGAGGTGTTTTATTCCAGCTGTTTTCCAGAATGCAAATAGAAAGGAAAAGTTCACCATCCCTTTTCATGTAATTACAGGTATTTAACAAAATGAGGGGCCCGCCGGCTGGTGTAGTGGTTAAGTTTGTGCCCTCCACTTCGGCAGCCTGGGGTTCTCTGGTTCAGATCCTGGGCATGAATCTACACACTGCTCATCGAAGTCACTGTGTGGTGACCTCCCACATACCAAATAGAGGAAGATTGGCCCAGATGTTAGCTCTGGGCCAATCTTCCTCAATCAAACCAAACCAAACCAAACCAAACCAGAACATGAATTTTGGCTGTCATGTTTCCCTCTCTCTCTGCCAACAATTTAAAAAATTTTCTTTATCCTGCTGATTTGCATACGATATCACTTTGCCCTGATGTGTGTTAAGAACTGAATAAATGAGTCTTCTGTAGTATTAAATAGTAAATGACAAGGTTTACCTAAAGCTCACTGTACCTGTGGAGTAAGTGAAAACAAAGGGAGATGTGTGGGGGAGAACAGAGAAGATGCAGGATGAAGTCTTTCCATTTCTGGCATAAAACAATAGAATGGCAGAACCTTTGATTGGACTAATGATTTTAACGTTTTATTTTCAGACATGTCAAACCCCCAAACGAGAGAAGATACTGAGGCCTGTTGCCACAAACCCGTAGATCCGAACTTGTGGTGATAGTCCACACAAGCTTGTGTCTATAGGTATGTGTCTGTTAGGCAATCTCACAGACCGCGGGCTTTGGCTGTATGCCACTCAATATCCCTTCAAATACCTTTATTCTCCCTTTCTTCCCCTTAGTTTGCTTTAAGAGTGGTAGAAATGGAAAGAGGGGCTGACATGGAGGAAGGAGAACTTTTGATCTGAAATGGATGAGGTTCTTCGATGATTAATTTATAGGCTTGCCTTCAACTTCCTTATCTCTTATAACTACTCTGAGCCGTCAAATTAAGAGACTGGGCTTGCAGGTGAGGCGGCAAGAATTTCTGTGACTCAGACAGCTTACTGTTGAGTGATGAGTAAATTGATACATAAACAAGGGTTTGTTTTGTTTTCTGTAAGCCTGACTAATGGTTTTCAGAGTTATTATGATCTTTTTTGGAAACTGACAGAGACGTGTTTTCAAGACCTGTTTCACCCTAGTTTGAGTTATACCTTACAGCAATTCTTCCTCACTCATTGCTCTCCAAGCGCAGTCAAATCAGTCCTTATCTTTAAAAATAAAACTAATGAGAGGAATGAATGTGCTTAACTATTTATCCTTCTATAAATACCCAGCACTGTAAGAAAAAGAACTTTTTATAAAAAAGAATTAGCCTGTTTAAGTCCAACTTCATACTTGGCCAGGGCTGTTTTATAAGTCTTCACCATGTTTAAAAGGCTGGAATGAAAATAATTTTATCCCCTTGCCTCTTAAATGTCACCATTGTGCCAGGATTGGAAAGCCAAACTGACTAGAGATCAAAGCAAAACTGGCTGTATTTGTCTCATTCCAACAATGTGAGCTGAAGAGTCTGTAAACAGAACCCAGGGTGAAAAGTTGATCAGATTTGGATAACTCTTAAACTTTTGCATTCCCTTTTGGTCAAACATAGTGCCAGGAATTCTCGTAAGATTTTTTTTTTCTATGCAGCCTCATCTAGCAAAAAGAGTTCAATATGAAGTAGTTATTGAGTTAACATCAGCAAGAAGTTTGAAACTCAAGTAGATACATTTTATTTCATTAAATTCTGTTTCCTCTTAAGAGCCATGCTGTTCAGGGATAGCTAGAACTCTTTCGTTCATTGAGTATATAAAATGCAATTTTGTTTGTTGGAATTAGCAAGGCCCAGATAGAGATCACCTACGTTTAAAGGGTAGAATCAAGCTCTGTAGATGCTGCACCCAGGGGATATTGTGTATATGCATTTCCTTTGCGTTTCCCCTGCATAGCGTTGAGGAGGGTTGTCTATACATCTCAACTTTCAGCTTGCCAAGAAATCATTGCTTTACTATGGAATGATGGAACTTTACATCCAGAAGAGAAAGACTGTCTCCACTGGTGTGTATCATGTATTATTGTTTGCCCAAGGCCTTTATCCACCCATTAAGCAAATAATCTACTTGGTTGGTTTGACATGCCTCTTTGAAGTGGTTGACTTAGAATGGATAAGCTGCTAACAAATTAAACTTGTACCTTCCCTGGATAAACACTTGTGTTTGATAAAAGCAAAATCACGTCTCTACTCATCATCCCTTCAACCTGTTGTTAAGTGTGCTACCAGTGGGACCAATGGAGTTCCTGAATCTAAGGGGACACTGAGCTGCCTGTATTCCCTGTACAGGGACAAAACAAGGGCTGCAGGATGGCCAGTAGGTGACTGCCAGGTTGTTACTTTTAAAGAGGTTTTTTCTTTTAAAGAGGTTTTTTAAACCCATCACCCCAAGCAAAAAGATTATGCAGAACAGTCAATCTTTTCAAAGTTTCTAAAAGAACTAAGACGTTATTATTTGATTCACCTGGCTAGAAAATATTCTAGTGGAAAGCCCAAAGCCTCTGGACCCTGGCCACAAGAAACAGGATATTAAATATTTTACATGATGATGAAATTCAGTATTTTTCCCTTCTTCCATGTTCATGAATGAATGGTTCTGTAGATACTAATTATTCTCTTGAGGCTCCCTCAGAGTGGACCACATATTCTACAGGAAGTTGCTGAAAGTAAAATAATTTCAGGTTTCCCCAGAAAGACTCTAAAAATATATATTCAATAGTCATTACTACATTCGTTTTCCCTAGTTTTATTAAAATTCTCAAATCACCACTATCAAAATACATTTATTAAGCTGTAACACCAGGATATAGTTTAGATTTTTTTAAACAGAAAAAAATAATTCTGATTCCAAGAATTGTGTTCGATAAAGCAATTCAGCTCTCATCACCAGAGTTTGGAGGGGAGAGAAGAGCTGATATTTAGTTTGAAAAGGTTTCTTGTTTGTATTCCAAAATTAACAAATGGATTTCTCTACATGGGAAGAAAATGGTCTGTGTAGGGTAGAATTAACTTTGAATTTTAAGTTAATATGATTTCTTATTTTTCGTTGTGCTTACCAATCATTCCCCAAGATCTGTTAGGTCCTGTGGATCCTTGTCTGCTGACTGTGGCATTTAATCTCACCAAATGTTATCAAGCCTCTCTAATTACGATTTTAAAAGCTTCTTATGCCTGTAACAGCACTGAAATTTCACAGAGAAGTCAATATGAGTGACTCTTCAAAAAATGTCAAAGATTTATTAATACCTAACATGGTGCTCAATAAAGTATGAGTTGGAATAAAGCCACTTTTTTCTTTCAGTGTAGCCATATGGCTGGAAAAATTATAAGTTTCATTCACTCTCTCATTCATACAACAAACCTTTATGACTCCTTACTGTGTGTTCAGTACTTTGCTAAAAGAGTGAAGATATAACTCTGACTTCCAAAAACTGATTATGTGGTCATGATGAGTCCCTTTGCAGAATTGCATGTCAAGCACACTGGCACGAATTTTAATGAATCATGTGTTTTAATCATAACATTTGTCCAACTTCCCAATGCCTAGTCAATACAGAACATGTTCCCTAACGGGGAGTCCCTGCTTTTCCTTTCTATCAGACACTCATAGCATTGTTTGAGGTTCATCCTCACTTCATTTAGGGGGATTGCTACTGGTAGCACTTAAAACCTCGATGTTCAGTAGACTGAGGGTGTGTCTACTTGTAGTCAGAATACCTTTGGAATGTATTTTTTAAAGTTAAAGAGTACAATAGATTCTCTATACCTAAAGATATATAACTATAGTTCTTCTGTAAATGCTACTTAATTTATTTTTTACTTCCTCTTTTCAATAAGACTTTTTTGTGACATCATTCCATATCATAATTGCATGTTGTTATTACATGCCTACAAATATTTACACTAATTATGTAATGAGCCATAATTGCACTAATACATGATAATGGGGTAAAATCAGTGTAAATAAACAAGGAAATTCACACAACCAAAAGAGCAGTGTATTGAAAACCATTAGTATTCTAATGGCAACATCTTTTTATCTTTGACCCCTAGAAGAAGAATGTACATGGAGAAAGATGAATTTTTCCATTTCCAGATATTTAAAAGCTCTGTTAGCTATACATTTAGGCTAATATGCTAGCAGCCTAGCACACTGAAACTTATCCTCTCTTTGTTGTATTTTCTTTTGGCAACTCTTACCTGCCCCTCCACTGCCTTGTTTCCCATTCATAAGGGTTATATCCTGACTGTGTTTATAGAATCAGGCAAATGGCCAATGCAGGGAAAATGAAAGAAATTCAAGTGCAAAGGAAAGAAAATGAAATCTATTTTCTTTTAGTGTCCCAGTGAATATTAAATCTTATACATGAGTATCTAGAGACAGATGACTCACAGTGACTCCTTGAATTTCCATATGAGATCCAGGATTTAAGGCAAACTTGCCAGGTTGAATGCAGCCACTCTGCAATTGTTTTCCCCTCTGGAATCTTGATAGCAAATCTGCCTTACTATGATTGAAGTTACAAAGCAAGTGGAAGAATAAGGGACCTGACATACAAATAAAAATCACCTGGCCCTTCACTTTAGGTTCATTAATACTTCCACTTTATCCATTCATTCATATATATTTTTATTTCATTCAACAAACATATTTTTAAGTCTCTACTGTGTGCCAGGTGGTAGGCTTGGAGGTGGTACCAGACTTGCAAAGAAGAGTAGCTCAGCCCCATATTCAAGTAGCTCAGGGACTAGTTAAGGAGACAGATAAATTACAATGCAATGGTGTTAGGGTTAAACTAGAAATGTGTATATGAAATTATAAGACAATCAGAAGATTTCTTTGAATTGAGGCTTGAAAGATAAATGGGAGTTAGCTTGGTAAAATGAATTTCCCAGACTTTCCCCCAAAGCAGGTCACATTGATCCAACAGAGATAGCCTCCTCAAAATAGCAGCCCCATTCCGTAAAAGCTGCATGAGGGAATAGGGTGGTAAAAGTGGAAAAATAGTCCTTCTCCAGGTTAGTAGAGTAGCATGAAGAAACACCAACTCTGCAGCGTTTCTATCTATCTTTTGAACACAATCAGCACCATAGAATTATCACTCTTTGATTCTCTATGTGTGGAGACACTCCTCCATCTCTATATGCCTAGGTCCAGCTCCTTTGTGGAACAGCCTTTACCAGACAAAACCAGAGTCCAGCTAAGCAATGAGGAAAGGCTGCCGTCAATAGACCACAGAGCAGTCCTCATGGGAAAATACAAACCGCACCAAACGTGAGTTCGCATAGAGATAGGAAGTCATCAAGCTTGTGAGAATCTGTCTGCTACTCCATCATCGACTGGAGCTAAAGATAAAGGAAAGACCCCATTTAAAATTAAAAGTACAAACAGGGAAATTTACCACATTCCCTTAAAAGAAAAAAATACAGGGTTACATTTTTATATGTTGCTAAATAAACTACTGGGGACAGACTTTGTGAAAAAGTGTTGAAACAGTCAACTCCAGAAGGAGGGCCACTTTAACAACATGTGAACTATGTAATGTGTATAATAAATACTGTTGCGTGAATGTTGAACATAGCTTCTATATTATATGTTTACCTTTACTTTGCTCAGAATCCTGTTATCTATATCTTTTCACTGTGTTTTGCCTTAAACAATTTTCCCTTGTTTATTGACCCTTCAGAGATTCCAGTTTTACAGTTTCACAAGGGAAACATTTGTTTTCCTAATCCTTTTTTCAATTCTCGAAGTTTACATATTGGTCTACTTTGTATTCTGTCAACAGATACCAGAAGGCATTAGATTGAGCAGAACAACCACCATTATATAACATTACCGTAATTTTCATGCACAAATAATTTCCAGGAGGCCAATCCCAAGTATTTCCTCCCTTCCTGTCTACACACTAATTTCAAATCAAGGTTCTTGTGTTAGTTTCTCTATTGTCAGACCCTTTGATGTGTGATCTCTTGTGAATGGCCCAAATAGGTGACAGCACGAAGAATAATTATAAGACTAACTTGCAATTTCATTGCTTAAGAAATGGTAGCTTTCCAGCCATTGTGACTGCATGTTCCCAGGTTGAGGTAGTAGGTTGTATAGTTTAGAATTACATCAAGGGAGATAACTGTACAGCCTCCTAGCTTTCCTTGGGTCTTGCACAAAGCAACATGCCAAGAATGATCATGATTCATCCGGGCCTTTTTTTCCTAGGAAAGCGTATGAAAGGTAAGATTGGGTACTGGCATTTTAGAATTCAGGTTTTGTTTAATTCTTGTACCCATGTTGTATTTTCATGTTCTGTTTCTTTGGATTTTGTGTTTTACCAAAAACATGAGACTTTGAGAGATTCCATATATCAGTTACCCATTGTCACAATAATGCTGCTTAACAAACACAAAACTTTAGTGGCATACATCAATAAATATATATTTAGTTCATGAGTCTATGGATCAGTGATTTAGACTGGGCAGTTTTTCTCGTCTTGGTTGGTCTCATTCATTCTGGCTGTCAGCTGTCAGATGGGGTGACTAGGATGACTGGGGCAACTCAGTTCTATTTCATGTTTCACGTCCTCCAACAGGGTAGTTCCAGCACATTCTCATGGTTAAAACAGAGGGGAAAGAACAAGAACAAGCCAAATGGCTTAAATATTTTGCAAGCTTCTGCCTGCTTTATGTTTGCTAATATCTTGTTGGTCAAAGGAAGTCAGATGACCATGCCTGGAGCCAGAGAGGAAGATGCTACAAAGTTTCTGGGCAAAGGGCATGAATCAGGAAAGCAAGACAAATCGGGGCCGTTTTCGCAATCACATTGAACTTTCTTGGGTTTCATCAAGTTGAAAGTAATGTGTACCCTCCATCCTCAGAAGCTCCCAAGATCAAGAACCATGTTTGTGAATTCATACTTTGGAATTTAGGATAAGCTGATCTTTGTCTGAATGCTATTTATGTCCCTGTTAACAAGATATACTCCAACCAACTTTTGTGGAAAAATCGCCAAGAGACTGGAATGGTAGTAATGTGGGGATTGATTATATCAGATTATAAGGCTCAGTCATTTCATGGTGATAGCCAATGTCATGAATGATAGACATTTTGCCTGACTTAGACTGAACTCACACAATCTACACAGAGCATATGAGCAGCAAACCAGCATTAGAATACAAATCTGTTGGCTAGAATGGGGTTGCTCCGAGCCCAGACACTTTTTCAATAGAAAATACAGACAGGTAGTCAGAAGGTACTTAATGAAATTATTTAATCCACTACATTATTTTTCTGGCATTTTAATATACAACATAGGTAAAAAAGAATGGTTTTGCAGCCTTTCTTTCTGAGCTACCTTAAAAAAAAAAGACGAGATCGCTGTGTCATCATTTTGATTCCATGCTCAAACATTTTCATGGTGCATCATAGTGATTGTTACCTTACTAGGAAGTCAAGGATGACTAGCCCCAGGTTGATGATGAAGCACAGCTAAAGGTTCAGTGTTTTAGGCCATCCTGAAAGTTTACAGCAGAACTAGAAGCAAAGGTCTAAGGCTCCTGTATGGTCTTCATTTCTTGGCTTGTTCATTTATCCTTTAGAAGGGCCTGTGGCCTTGCTCTAGAAGACACTGTCATTACTTTGTCACATTTATTATGAGTTTGACATGAAACACAGTTATTACCTGTATCTGTGTTGGATAAGAGTTTGTGTATTAAACATCTGTAGCCACTTGACATATAAGGACCTACTTAGTACTGTTTATACATTTATATAGCTTTTTTAAAAAAATTGAGTTATCTTCTTGTACAAGACAATAAAATCCTCTCCTTTTCAGTAGCATAAACTTAAGTGGTTTCATGCAGCCATGGTCCCTAAAGGTAAAGTAGTGTTTTGGGGTCCTGCTTCTGAAGACAAAGTAAGTTTCACATAATTGAGTGTCTACTGACTTGGTAGTCAGGTTGCATCTGCTAGAGTTTAAACAGTGCCCTGTTTGCTTTCTGAATGGCTATGGTGTTTGGGAGGTCATACTGTTGTGTTTTTCAGCCAATAGCTCATGGTAAGACAAAGAGTTTGGGAACTGCAAGGAAAATAAATTATGTTGGAGGCCACTTTAGACACATCTTAGTGTCAGTTTCAGCAGTAGTGGATGGGTAAAGTATTATTCAAAATGTTTCGCTTCTTATGTCCATCTTTGGTGAGTATGAGCTCTGTTTCCTCAGGGAAACTCTTCACTGAATTTTATATCTGACAATCATTCTTAGTCCCAGAGATCCAAAATACGCCGTTAATACAAATCACCACAGTATCTTCTGGAATTAATCTTAGGATTTAAAAAGAAAGAAAAAGAGTTGCAGAATGCTGCATTTTTTAATATCATCAAGAAATTATAATATCTTTATGGGTGATGTAAATGTTATTTTAATTTTCCAGAATCTGGTAATTTAATCCAGCTATTTTCCAGCACATTGATAAGCTTCAAAACCTAAATGTGTCGCTGGCATCTTGACCTTCTTCATCAATCACGGAATGTTTTGCTGATGCAATTTAAGGAGACTCTGGCTAGTCAGAATAGCGAGTCTACAAACTTTCTGGAAGACAGGTCATTTGTACTTCTTTATTTGCATGCATCAGACTCTTTTTGACTTGGTTTATCAGTATGACTAGTTAGAGACATTTAACTAGTATGTGATAACGCAGTCAGTCTTCTTGTACTGGGTAAGTATGCACTTCCAAAAACATTCTTATAACGGCAAACACTAGCCTCTTCAAAGTTGGCTTTGGCTCATTATCTTCTCTGACCTTTCTGAAGACCCACGGAGAAATGAGTAAACCAAGCTTTTCTTACCTATACCAATATATATTTTCTAAATACTTAGTGCAAGCTTTGACTGCAAATAGAATAACACCTTACATCATTACTCTTCTTGTACCACTGTACTATTTTCCCCTTATCTCTTGCCCTCCAAATTCTAACCCCACCAAAATACTTGTTTTTCTGTTCTGAGTAAGGCCAATCTCTGGTGGTCTTTAATAGCCTATTTTTCTAACAGTTATACGTCCAAGTTCTATTGAAAGCATCTTTTAAATAGTGTATATCAAACTTTAATTGATATGAATCTACAGGGATCTTGTTAAAATGCAGATTCTGATTCAGTGGGTCTGGATGGGGCCTGAAATTCTGCATTTCTAACCAACTCTTAAGTGAGGCTGATGTGGTATATGGAACACACTCTTAGGTAGTAAGGTTTTGCATAATCAAATTCTTCTAAATTCCAGGATGTCCAGGCATTTAAGCTGAGGGCAAGAATTTGGCGACAGTTTCCCATCTTTAGATAAAATCCTTCCTTTAGTTGTAGTCACACAGCTTATCTTCTTAAAATATCTTAGTTCCTTTTCACTAATACACTAATACATAAGACTCAGCACTATGAAAGTTACATTTTAGAAATAGGGACATTGTGACATTGAATATAGTCCTAAAGATCTTCATATCATAGTAATCATTCACTCAATAGAAGCATCTTTGAATAGCACATGTAAAGAGAATTCAACTGGGGACATGAATGCAAGTACCAAACCTGGTTCTGCAGTACTCAAATCACTTAAACTTTCTGAAAATCAGTGTCCAAATATGTAAATCCATGGGCTAGAACTGGATAATAGCTGAGGTATTTTTAATATAGAATATTCTAGAATTCTGGGATTGTCATTCAGGAATCTTAGTGTCTAGGAGTTTTCTTCTTAGCCTCCATATCCTCCCGTCTTATAACATGAAAGAGGATATTCCCAATTCTATCTCTGGACTTCAAAAGAACATGAGCAGAATGGTAAGGAACAATTTGCAGTAATGGTTACCACAACAAGCTTCTATCACTGAAGGTCACATTAAGACAGTGGAAAAAGTAGGTTAGGAAAACAGTAAATATTAATCCCCATGTTCCTTCCATGGTTTGCAGATCACTAGGGTAATAAAGAAAAGTAAATTAATTTCCACCTAGTTAATGCCTATGAGGAGGGTGTGTTAAAGCACTGAATATCATTTTAAAGAAGAGATTATCTCAGTGGTGAACAGGATGGGGATATGCGCGAAATGTGAAATTTGCCACCTCCTTCCCTGGTTCCTGTTTGTGCTCTTTCTAAACAAAAATTATGTTCTTCGTGCTCCACCACCAACTGCAGTATGGAGCACATGAGAGCCTCTGTGGCCCTTCTCAACCCTTTTACATCAGTCACAGAACTCCCACTGTTCTGTGCTAATGCAAAATGCAATAACGTTTAGCATCAGGACATCTCTGAGTCAAGAGGTTAACGGAAAACACATCTCCCATTGTGTTCCTGCAGCTCTGATACTGTTAATGGTGAAAACACCATGGAGACAAATAGATCTCTCTTTATTCAGGAAGCTTTGAGTGAAGAGAAAATATATATGACATCTTTACAACATGAGAGCCCTCTCTATATGGTGCATTAAGGAAGGATGGAGGAGGGGAAAGTTCACATAACACTGTGCTTGATATGGCTTGAGTCTCATCTAGGGGGAGGATTCTGTCTCCTCCATTTTCTTTCTGTCGCTTTAATAAATAGTTCCAGTTCTGGCAAGGAGGAGTGAAATTTAACCTTTCAAGGTACAAATTCAGGGAAAGAGGACTCTTTGGATAAGCATAGTGGAAGACTTTTTATGGGTATTTTCTAAAATGTGACCAGAGGAGATATATGATGACATAGCTGCCTCTTTCTTTCTTGTTCTGCTTTTGTGCATCTTGTCTTTCTCTGTTGTGTGCTTCAGGTATAGAGACTGTGGACCCTATCTTTGTGAAAGGAAACTAGGGCAAAAAATCAATACATGATCATCATGCTGAGATTGTTCTTACTTGAAAACTACCTGAAAGTAGACTGTGTGTTCTGTATGGCCATATAAAGATCATATGTGAGCATATTTTTGTGGTCTTATTATCCACGCACTTGAGAATATCCCTCAGGGAAACCTTTGCCAAGGTCACTTCTTGTTCCTAGACAACTTTAAAAAGAAATTTGTTTTATAGTTTATGAATTATGATCAGAAGCTAAAATTAGGATGCTCCATTTCCTTAGGACCTAAAGACTTTTCACTCTGTGGTAGAAAAAATTCTGGATCAAGAATCGCTTTGGGGAGTTACCTGCACAGTTTAGATGCACCAAATAATTACCAAATTTTCTATGTTACATGTGGTCTTGGAAACATTTGGAGGGTATACATGATTGACGACCACTCAATCCTGTCAGATGACTGCACTGGCTTTGCTAGGGCAGGGAGTGGAAGAGTGGGAGTTTGCATTCAGTTTTTACACTGCCCTGGAAACTTCTAGACATGTTTCCAAACCCAGGCTGATGCACTGCAATACTAGTACTCTAATTGTTGATTCACTTGCATCAAGGGTAGCCAAATTTCATGTATAAAACTTCATCAAGTCCAAGAAGGAAGGAAAGGAATTCCAGAATGACTCACTGTTTAATGAATAAGGCCCCAAGTGTTCTGTGGTTGCCATTGTTAAATTTGAATAAAATGTATAGAATTCAAATCATAACTTGAATTCCAAATTAGGACAGGTCATGCTTAATGGTGAAGCTGCAATGTTATAGTGATAAGCTGCTTCTGGTCAACTGCTAATAAGCAACTTCAAAACATAAATGGGCCACACACTCATGATGTGTGTTCTGAATCCTCTAAGGGTTTAAGAGTCTTTTAATCTATTTGTAGCTTTTTATTATTGAGTAATGAAGTGCTGCCGATATCCTGGAACCAATATGCAAGACACATTAAATCAAGCATAATTCAAGCAGAACATATCCCTAAAGAATGAACGAAAAGGTGCAAAATGAATTTATGGGAAGTAAACTTATTTTGAGGGGGAAAATAAACTTTTTATTACTTCCGTGACCAAGAAACAGAATTTTATGATTAATCAATATAATTTTTAACAAAATTGCCAGATATGAGATACATGAATAGCCAGTTTAAAAAATAAAGATTATATACTACTTAAAGCTAAAATTGTTGTAAATACAGTTTAGTATATCTCTAAGATTTATAGGTTATTCAGAATCCTCTATGCTTCAAGATCAGCATTATAAAGCTAAATTTACGTTTTATAGTTAGTTGATGTGTGAAGTGCCAATTATAGACCTCCGCTTGGCAAATACTAGTTAAACTAGATTTTACCATTTATGTTCTGTGGCTTAAGTTGGAAACTCTTGTTAATATTGACTGTGATATCATCTAACGTAGAAGTGCCAAAATATTCTGTTGTAAATTAAACACTACTCTTAACCAATCTACCAAAATATTTAGTTCTAAGTACAGCACATACATTATCCTGTGAACTTGTGTGGTTCTAAATTTAGCCAGCTCTGTTGGCTATTCACTGCCTTGTCAGATCTTCTCTCTACCTTTTCCCTTCCTAGTCTGCGCTCTCAGAGGTTGACTTTCATGGGCTGCCACAACAATCCCTTTTGCCCTCGGGCTTCTGAATGTATTTGGCCAAAGGGAGGCACCAGCAGGAGACCCAAGGGAAAGTAGAGAGAGAAGTTAGGGTACTTAATCCCCCTCACTTTCTTCTTGCAGGCCTTGGGGTTGACCTGGCTTCATTCCTTACTGAAGATGATGGCCACCTCTTAGAGTTCTAGTTCTTGCTTTCGCTTCCTTTTTTTTTTGTCTGTTGAGTTAGCACTGATTTATAACATTATATAAGTTTCAGGCATACATGATTATAATTCAACTTCTGTTACTTTATGTTGCGTTCACCACCAAAAGTCTAATTTCCATCCACCACCATACAAACGACGCCCTTTACCCATTTCACCCTCCCACCATGCTCTTCCGCTCCGGTAATCACCAATCTGTTCTCTGTATTTATGTGTTTGTTGCTGTCTTATCTTCCACATATCAGTGAAATCATATGGTATTTGTCTTTCTCTGACATTTTGCTTAGCATAATGCCCTCAAGATCCATCCATGTTGTCACAAATGGCAAGATTTCATCTTTTTCCATGGCTGAATTGTATTCCATAGTCTATATATATATACCACACCTTCTTTATCTGTTCATCCATTTATGGGCACTTAGGTTGTTTCCAAGTCTTGGCTATTGTAAATAATGCTGCAATAAACGTAGGAGTGCATATATCTTTTCAAATTAGTGTTTCTATGTTCTTTGGATAAATGGATAAATTCCAGAAGTGGAGTACCTGGATAATATGGTAGTTCTATTCTTAATTTTTTGAGGAATCTCCATACTGTTTTCCATAGTGGCTGTAGCAGTTTATATTCCCACAAGCAGTGTCTGAGGGTTCCCTTTTCTCTCCAGCTTCTCCAATACTTGTTATTTCTTGTCTTGTTAATTATAGCCATTCTGATGGGTGCGAGGGGATATCCCATTTTAGTTTTGATTCTATTTCCCTAATAATTAGCCATGTTGAACATCTTTTCATGTGCCTATTGCCCATCTGCATATATTCTTTGGAAAAATATCTGTTTAGATTGTCTGCCCATTTTTAAATTGGGTTGTTTGTTTTTTCTTGTTGAGTTGTATGAGTTCTTTATATATTTTGGATATTAACCCCTTATCAGATATATGATTTGCACATATCTTCTCCCAATTGGTAGCTTATCTTTTTGTTTTTTTGATGATTTCTCTGTAGCTTCTGATAACCACTCTCTCACCTTGTTCTCTCAGCACTAGATATGGTAATGACTTCCCCCTGTTGTTAGTCTTAAGACACTTCACCATCCTTTTTTGGTTGCTGTTAACTCTGCCCAATCTTTGCAAAGAATCCTTCCACTAAACATCCCTCAGTTTCCCCTATCTGACTGTGCTATTTTCTTGTCTGGAGTCTTATTTTCTAGCTAAAGTCATCATAAACTAGATAACAGAAATTAGTCATTCGCTTTCCATCCTGTGTGGGAAATGAGGGATGGGGGAGTAGATATTTATCTTTTCTATAATACTTTAAGCTCTGGAAGGGCAGGGACCATATCTAATACCTCCTTTATAATTCTTTACAACACCTGCAAAGGGCTTAGCTCACGGTACTACATGCTCAATGCACATGGACAGTCTTACTGACTTCCTCTGAAATCCTCAAATTTGTTACAGGCTTAAATGGAATGTAGCCTCTTGACTTAGGATGTAGACTTTAAGAAGTCAAAGACCGCATAATTTTTTTTTCAACAGCATTTCTGATATAATATAATCTCACATGACACAAATATCATACCCATTCTGCAAATTCTAATTTGGTAAAAATAGATTTACTCCATGAGTTAGATTTACTTGTGTTTAGTAGATGAGAAATAATTCTATTTAAAATGTTTATATCTAATTTTCCTTTTACATTACCAACTCATCCTCTAGTATTTGTTAGTTTTCTTCTATTTGTGCTATTTTTTATATATTTATTTATATGGCTTTCACTTCTTCAGTAGTACTGACAACTTTCTGAATATAATCTTGGTAGAGGGAACGCATAGATTGAAATAGGAATTAAGAACCACAGGATAAAGGGAATAGTTACCAGAATGGATATCTTCACAATTTCTTTGGGGTTCATATTGCTGGTTTGCTCCCTGACTTTACCATAATGCCAAACCTATCCATACTTTAAATTTCAAAATTACTCCCAATTTTATGAAACGTAAATGGAAAACACTTTGATTTGTAAAGTAGTAAGTTATTGTCATATTGTATTCATTTCCTACTTAGTGCAAATCAATGTTTTAATATCTAATTGCTCTGAAACTTGTGAAAATAGATTAGGGAAAAGTTAGGAAGAACTAGCCTTTTGACTTTCTTTACTGAGAGGAAACTGTCTGGCTAGTTCAAAGAGCAGATTCCTTACTGTTCATATTTTGCTAACAAGATCATTTCTTCAACAAATGGAGGCAGTTGGAACATTGTCAAGTCAGATAAGTTAAACTTTGTGTCTCCCTGATAAGTGAAACTGTTTAATGATAATTTTACTAGTCCACTTGGGAAGCGACCAAAGCACTATTAGATAAGTTAAAACAAAAAAAAAAAAGCATGGAAAATATTTTTGCCAACTGTTTCTTCTTGGCCTCTTGGCAGAGATCAACAGTTACGTTCCCTATCTGGGGACTATCTCTTGTGGGCCAGACCGGATGATCTAATAGGTCTTTACAATCTCTAAATACTGTGACTTCTATCCCCAAGTGAACTACATAGTTTATTTACATAGAAACACACTCACAGGCTTAAGGAAATGCAGTATGACTAATGCTAAGGAAATTGAGCCAGGATGACTCAAGTGGCTTTTTTCTAAATAGGATAAGTAAATTAAAATCATAGATATTCTTTCCAGTTTCCCTCCAGCATTGCAATATGTAGATTTTAGACGTCAGAATTTCCCAGTAGTGAATTAGTTTTCTGCCACTAGCAAATTATAAACATGTTGTCCCGTTAAATCAGTAAACCTTTGCTGTCCTTATCAAGAAAGTTCTTCAATGGAGATTTGGTTTAATTGTTGTTTTAATTTCACATTCTATCTCAGGCACATGGGAAATTAAAAATGTTGGGAACGCTAGAAAAATAAAAATTGCTAGAAAAATACAAGCATGATGAATAAAGCATAATCACTGTGCATTTCAACTTTATTAAGAATGTGTTTTTGTGCCTTTGGCTATGTTTATCTAGATAAATGAAGCATTGGGAGGAATCTCAGATTTTTAATAAAAAAATTGTCTCCTCAGGACTGTGTTGGCAAAGACAACACTTTTAAGGACCCTTTTTTTTCTCTACTTTGTGTAAACATTTTATGCTTTCCCCATGAGGTAATACTTTCAATTGTCTATCTGGGACTAAAAATCAAAACTATTTTTATTGTTGTTGTTGTTGATTTTTAAATTTCTTTAATCAACTCTCCTCCATATCTGACATTGAGCCCCCTTGAAAATAAGTATGGGGACAGTCAAGAGATCTTATTTCTAGAGGGCTTAGAACTTCTCAGCTGATTACCTGCACAATTCACTCTGGCATACATAGGTTAGAAGAACCTGGTTAAGATATACCAATTAAGAGGGAGATGACAAAACTCTCATATTACCTATGGATTGTGTTCCTAAGGCAACTGGACAAACTTCAGGCCATTCTTTATTTTCAGAGCTGGTGCCTGGATGCCAATCCTTTCTGATGAAAATAGTGGTAGTGAGGAATTCTGTCTGAGGGTTTGATGATCAGTATCTTCTATTTTGCTTTCTGCTTTTAGGGTCCTGATTTATCATTTGGAAATACTTCTATTTCAGCACTGAGGAAAGCGGCCATGTAAATATAATGCGTTGCTTTCTGATATGCTATAGCTTATTGCACAATTGATTATGTCGCTTACTCTTAAACAAAGCATTCCTTAAAATATGATTATGTTTCTACAGGCTGTCTGAAGGTACATGCTAAAAGTTCCAGTAATTCACTCCCAGCCCCCTCTGTGTCAAGTGAAGACATCTCTCATTGTCACTTCCCACAATAAATTCAATATGGAATGTAGCATATATTCCTTATCCAGCAGTCTTATGCTTTAAGTGAGTATCGCCTTCATGAATATAATTCATTTTATTAGCTTAGTTTAGTGTCTCATCACACATTCTACGTATGATTTATCTTTTATCTCAGTTACTTTCATAGCTCATGCTTTGAAACTGCCCTAAAACTTAGATTCCTGCTGAGGGCTGTGTTTGTCGTTGAGGATGCATTTGTGTTGACTGTGTCCTCCAAAGTTTAGCTCAATGGTCCCTTTCTCTCCTTCTGTTTCCCTTTCACTTCCCTCAGGTAGCTCTTTCTTTTGTGCTCACATAATACTTAGTTCAAACAACTATCTTATCAGATTATATGAGTATTATAAATATTTATTTTACTGATAGTTTTGTGAATTCCTTGATGGGATGGACACTATTTTAATTAATCATCCTTTTATTCTCAGGCTGATACATAATAGTTGCTTAAGTGTTGGTTCATTTGAACCAAATTTTCTTTCAGTAAACAATTTTTGACAGGCCCATGATCTAGGAAACGTCAAACTCAGTAACATTTGTACCTTACGTTTAAGTTTTGTATTATATTCTGTAGCATCTCTAGAATTTTTTCCTTTCATTCTGCTATTGTTTCAGTGAACAAGACTGAATCTGAAATAGGTTGAAAAGTTTCCTTAGAGTGTTGTGAGTTCCCAGAAATGAAAGTATTCATTAAACTACAGAAACAGAGATTAAGCTCCAAAGAGAAATATTTTAATGCTTATCAGAACAGAATTGACTAAATTTGATTACTTAATTTTTATTTCAGAGTAATCACATGGAATTTTCCTGCAATGGAACAAAACTTATTGGTGAAGAAATGTCCCTTGATGTACCCTTTTCTGCATTGTTCATTGAGTGTAGATAAAATCATCATGGTCATGAAGATGATGAATGCTTGTGCTTTGATGTTGCTAAACTTCCACAGTTGTTGTAGCTTCCTACTGAGCTACATTTCTAGTATAGTTTTTGAAGTTTTTTTTTTTAACTAAGGAATATATTTTATGGTGATGGTGGTAGTGGTAGTAATCATGGTGATTTTTTAAAAATTATTTCATTGAGGTCATATTGGCTTATAACATTGTGTAAGTTTCAGGTGTACATTAGGATATTTCAGCTTTTGTATAGACTGTATCGTGTTCACCACCAATAGTAGTGATGGTGATTTGTTTCACTAATATTCACTGTGCAAATGGAATAGACACTAAATACTGAGTTATTTTTTGCAGTTAATCAAAATTAAAAAGTCCTTCAAATTAAGTGATATATTATTACAATATTAACTGTGTCTAGCATTGTCTGTTCAATTTAAGAATTTGTTGAATACATTTATTCTTGTGTTATCTTTTATTTTTAATCTCAGGAATGAAATAAGTAAACCTTTCCATCCGGAAGGATTTCACTATAACCCTGCCTAAAGAGTTAATGTTACTATTGTTAACCACTAATCGAGTTTTCTGATCAATTTCATTTCGCTTTATCAAGTAACTGCTAATTCACTACCCTTTTGTTCTCTTTTCCCCTATGTCTATTTCAAATTTTAATCTGTCAATAATATGGGCCATTAACAATGTGTTGTACCTTCTTCATTCTTCTCTGTTATACACAGATTATATTATTTATACATATATACTTTATGTATATTATGTACATATGCATGTTAGGTATATATATATGTGTGTGTGTGTGTGTGTGTATCTATCTCACATTCATTTGTTTGGATACTAAATAGTACTTTCCTGAGCATTTATGCCAAGTGCTGTGGTGAATGCAAGATAGATGTGATATTTCCTGCCCTCAAAGATTTTGAAATATAGTCAGGAGAATAAAATAATTACAAAATAATTCTTCAGAAATACAAGTGCATTAAATACAATCCCAAAGTGCTATGGCGAGTCAGAGGAAGATGATATTTCCAAGTATAGAATCAGGGAAGATTTCATGGAAGAGATGTATTTTGAGCTGGGGCTTGAAGAGTTGGTAAGATTTTGAGGGACAGAGATTAGGGACAAAACATTCCTGATAAAGGGAAAAGTGTAAATAAGGGACTTGATTAGGGAAAAGTAGGATCTATTTGGGAACAGAAATAGTCCATTTGGGCTTTGACATAGTTTGTGAGTGGATTTAATAGAAGAAAAGGCTTTACAAGTAATCTGAAATCAGTTCATAGAGGGACTGGAATGCCATGTAAAGGTGTTTAGAATTTCGTCAGTTAGCCATGGGGAACATGTAGGTTAATTAACTATCTACTTTAAGATGATTAATTATAAAGTGGACGGGACAAGATGTGGGGAGACTAGTTAAGAACTTACTACCATAGACTCAGGTGATGTATGTATCACTATGAACTGGAGTGTTGGCCATGTGTGTAGAAAGGAGGGAATATTTGGTATATCCTGTCCATGTGATTGGAATTCAACAGTAGATAAGTAAGAATAAAAATGGTAAGAACTCATTAAAGGTTGATTGAGTAAATTAACTTATTTTGGATTTAAATAGTATGGTTTTGTGTTTTTGCAGAAATACTTGGCAGACCAGGAGTGGAAGCAGAGGAAACAAATGGTGATTACCAAGATCATAGTTTGGAAAATGAAAAGATGTAAAGGTCAAAAGATAACAGATCTTGGGGTGCTAGTGAAAGCATCATGGGAATGACTTCACCAGTGCTACCGACTAAACAGAGATCAAGTTTAAGTGCAGCTAGAAGAGAGTGATTAGCTGGGGGGATATGTAGGAATTTTGGAGTTTCTATATCATAATTAGAAATTGAATAGATTCAATAGAAGTGAGGAGTGGCTATGTGATAATTAAGAGAGGATTTCCTGAAGGTGAAGCACTTCCAGATAATGATGATGTTCAGGTTGTGGCCATATGTACTGATGACTAAAATGGAAATGAGACGAATATCACTGGACTTGATGAGGCTAGGGTACTAGAAAGGCCCTCCATGTAGACAGAGTGGGGAAGAAGACCATAAACTGAGATAGAACTAAGTGATAGAATTAAAACGTCCCCAGATGAATGAAAGTTCAGAGACAAATTTCCATGAACTTTCTCCATCTCTAAGAAAGTTGTGATACTAAAATTGGGCAAGTCTTAGTGAAGAAGCCCCACTCTTTCTGCCAGGTTCTGATAAACTTAAGAATGCTCAGTCACTTTCTAATATTTCAAAGATTCAATTTATCATTTCAAATACAAAATTATACTTATTCTCTTATTCGCTAAAGGAAAGGGCATATAAGTTCACGATCATTGGATGTGTTTAAAGGTGCAATCAACCCTCATTATTTATGAATTCCATATTTGCACATTCACAAACTCACTAAAATTTATTTATTTGTAAACCCAAATTAAGGTAGTATTTTCATGGCCATTTGCAGAATGCGCAAAGCAGAGAAAACTTTGTGCCACCAGATGCACACATTCCCAGCTGAGGTCAAACAGGGCAACACTCTGCCGCTTTTTTAAAGTTCTCATACTGTGTCATTTTGAAGATCTATTTAGTGCCACATTTTTCGCATTTTTGCACTTTTTGTTCATGATTTCACTGTTTAAAGAGGCCCCCAGGTATAGTGTTGTAGTGCTGTCTAGTGTTCCTAAGCACAAAAAGCTGTCCTGTGCCTTAGGGAGAAAATATGCATGTTAGATAGGTGTCATTCAGGCATGAATTTAGTGCTGTTGGCCGTGAGCTCAACGTTAATGAATCAACAATATATATTAAATAAAGTCTCTTTAAACAAAAACACACATAAAACAAGACTATCTTTGGTTGGTGAAAACATGACCAGAGGCTTGCAGGAAACTAACCCTATATTTCCCCTAGGAGTAATTCTTCAGGATTCACTAATTCAGTGTTCACAGCAACTCTATAGAACATAACTACTGCAAAGAATGCGAGTTGACTGTACCTTTTTGTTTCGGTTAAAGGTAGCTGTCTTAGTTGTTTGGATCCACACTCAAGTTCTTTATCACTAATGACCATTCCTTCTTTGCAGTGATAAACTTTGCATAGGTACTGTTCTCTTGTCAATTGGTCGATGAAAACCAAAATATGATTTATTTAAATTTTTATTTTGAAGCAATTTTAGACTTATAGACAAGTTGCAAAAGAGTACAGTGTTCCTCTAATATAAGATTCCCCTAATGTTAATATCTTCATAACCACAGTGCAATTATCAAAACCAGGAAATTAACATTGTTGTGATACCACTAACTAATCTACAGACCTAATTAGAATTTCTCAACTTTTCCCATTAATGTCCTTTGTCTAGTGCAGGATCCAGTCGGGGATCCCACATTGAATTTAGTGTCATGCTTCCTCATCTCTTTCAATCAGGGACAATTCTTCAGTCTTTCATTGTCCACCATGAACCTGACACTTCCAAAGAGTACGACTGGTCAGATATTTTGTAGATTGGCCCTCAGTTTAGATTCATGTGATGTTTTCTCATGATTAGATTGAGGTTACTCATTTTTGGCAAGAATACTATAGAAGAGATGATGACCTCATATCAGGGTCAATGATGTCAATATGTTGTCTTACTGGTGATGTTAATTTTGACCACTTCGTTAAGGTAGTGTCTGCCACATTTCTCCACTATAAAGTTAAAGTTTTTTCTCTTTGTAATTAATAAGTGGAAGATGATTTTTTAATGTTAAAATTTTCTAGATTGCTTTTCAACCAATCAGCAAGCACGTTATCACTTATCAATTCAGTGCTGAGCACAGTGATAAGGAGTTGGCATAATTTTTAAATGGCATTCTTTTGTTCACTGAGAACTGACAGTCTACTCAGGGAGATAGATAAGGGATACCTTAAACAACATTATACACGGAAAAATATAGAGAACTACATTGTGGCAAATTGTGTGGCACAGGATATAAGAGTTACAGGAGTGACCAGGGAAGGCTTCCTATGAAAAGTGGGAACACCTGCCGGACTTTGAAGGGCAGGTAGGATTTTTCCAGGTAGAATTTTATAATATAGTGAAATATATTGAATACTTTAGTTCCTTAGGAACTGTGCTAGAAGCCAGCAATATTTAGATAAAAAACAGAATCCCTACTTTCTAGGAGCTCCCAGGCCAGTGAGAAAGGCAGAGATGTCTATAAATGGGGAGCAAATGTGATCAGTTTTGTATGAAGATGGGAGAAGAGAGGGTATTATAAGTGTAGGGAGCTATATCGTACTTTAGAGATGAAAGGAGAACCTTCTGCTCAAACTCTCTGCGCTCTAAGAATGCCAAAAAGCATTCCTGCGATGATGTCATTCAGTCTATACTTGAACATGTCTAGTCACAAGAAGTGATCGCTGAAGACATATTCCACTGATTTATGCCTTTTACTGATAGAAATTTTTTTTTTCTATTGAGCCGAAATGTACCTCCTCCAAACTTTCACCAATGGGTCTAGTTCTTCCCTCTTTTGCTGCAGGAAATAATTCTACTCCTTCTGTTTCAGGATAGTTCTTAAAAGTGCAGACATTATATCCTTTCTTAATGTCCCCCTTTCAAGGTAAACATGAAGAAATCTATATACTATATGTGATTTCTACATCCTTAACAATTCTTCATGTATTTGTTTGTTAATTGATGTGGCAACCAAAATTGAAAATATTTTCAGGCTTTCCAACCAGTGGAGAATCTCATGTAATTAGCCTCTTCTTTGTTCTAGACAACATAATTCTGTTAATACAGCCTAAGTGTGCTTTGGTTACTCTGGAAGCCAAACTGTTGGCTTCGTTTCTGTTTCCTTTCTAAATAATCTGTTCCCCCTCACTCAATTCCCCACACCCTCATCCTCAGCCTGATTTCTTCCCCCGGAAATATTTAAGAATAATTATTATATGAGGTGAGGTCTCCCCCATTCAGTTCAGTTGCGGTTTTGAACCAAGCATTCAAAACTTATTTCTGTCATATTTTGTGCTCTTCATTTTGGCCTCCTATTGGAGTTCTCTTTATAGTTTGATCTTGTTGTCTGACATAGCTTTCATTTTTTCCCCTACTTTTAATATCTGCAGATTTGGTAAGAATATAATCTATTTTTATCCGAGGCTTTAATAAAATAAATAAGATAGGGTCAAGAGCAGAGCTCTTGGACAAACCATGTATGTCCGATCATTTCACAATATAAAAAACTCCCACCTATCCTACCAGTCAGCCTCTGTGTTTCACTCGTTCTAGAGGGAATGTGTGGTGAGGGGAGAGCAGGGCATGCTCATTGACAGTGATGAGCCTGACCTAACCAGAGCCGAAGGTGGAATGTTGACCAGTAGTTTCAAATCAGGTTCTGCTTCTGGGAAGATGGATCATGTTATGTCATATTCTAAAATCCAGGAAGAGTCATTATTGCTAACAGCAATAATTCTATAAAGTTTTATTGCTTCTGGAGTTTTCTCATGTGCATGATCTTATAGATATGAAATGGTGAGATAAGTTGCCAATGAAGATTTTGGGGTAGGGAAAGACAAAAAAAAGTGGAATTTAAAGCAGAATATTCTGCTAATGGAACTCCAGATGGCTTGGAGGGGGAAGAAATAGGAGAGAGGGAGGCTAGTAGAGAAGTTGCTGGAGTTATCCAGGAGGTGAGCAGGCACAGAACTTAGACCAAGACAATAGTGGAAATTGGAGAGGAAGGAACAGATAAAAGACACATGTTCTACAGAGGAGCAATAGGACTTTGTAACTAAAAATGAGTTTGGGGAGGGAGGTGGGGGGCATATTAAAGATAACTCCCATATTTTAAATCTGGAAGAATGATGGTTCAGTGGACAGAAGCAAAGAAATTGGTAAAGGGAACCCTGTTTAGGGTGAGGCTGGTTTTCTTGTTTTTATGTTTGGCTTAATGGTGATGAGAGACAAGAGTAACTCTTAGATGAAAGCCTAAGACTGAAGAGTCTTCATCTGTTAGCATAGAGAGAAGAGTTTCCATGGAATGCTATGTTCAAGTAGAGACTTAAATGTCCTCCTTTGTGGCACGGCAGACCCGTAGGATCACAGTAGCTGTCAGCACCTCTTGGTTTCCTGGCACACAGGTGAATTATTGCAAAAGTAATAAATATGGTTTCTGATTGAACCAAGGATCTCTCAACTTTGCAGATCCATTTAAATCTTGCAAATAGCAAATGTGGTTATGAAAATCTTGGAAGTAGAGATTGGCTAAGATAAATTATGTCCAAATCATAGAATGAGTCATAGGAATAAAATCCTCTTTAACCATCAGTGAATATTCTGACAAAGCTATCTACCTACTTCTAAATAGAATATTATACTTTTTTCTTTCAATGAATGTTCAATTTATAGTGTCTCTACACCCACGCACACAAAAAGAGTGCAAAGAGAGAATGAAAAAGATATTAACTTGAAGCCCCATTAATCAGGCTTCAGAGAAGACCCTGTTATTAAGCTCTTGATCATCATCAGCAGCAGACATTCATTAAGCACCTGATTGTGCTTATGCTACGTATTCATGCACTGGGCAAAAGCCACATGGGCTTGCCCTCTCTGGGTATGTAGACCCTACATGCAAGAGCAAGAGAGAAAATAGTGTAAAATGGCCAGATA